GAAAATGTTTTGAAAATGATGAAGGCAACATATGTACAGATGTGCTTGACACAATGGATGGATGGATGGATTGTGATAAGAGCTGTATGAGTCCCCAAGGAAAATAAATAAATAAACACAGGTAGAATTTCTCTCTGCAGCAAAAGTTGGAAGAAAAATCACATTAACCTATAAGATTGTGCGCTCTTTGCACACAGAGCCGGTATCTAAATTGTGTTCATTGGTAGGAGTAGCACCAGTATGCCTCACACACACAATTGGTATTCTTTAAATGTTTGCTAACAGAATGAAAAAATACTCACCCTCCCTTAATGCTGGCGTTTCCACTTGAAGATATCATTGAAATTTGAAGTTCTTCACTTTTCCTACTTACTCAAATTCACATCTTTTTCCTTTTTTGCTTCAAGGCCAAAGGAATTGCTAAATACGCATGTGTTGCAAAATCGAAAGTCATTTCTAACAGTGCTTTTCTATGTCTTGAAATAATTATAAGTAATTCTAGAAATTGAATAAAAAGTATTTAATAATGCACAAAGTGAAGAAAAGTATGCCAGTTGATTTATAATTAGCATAATGTAGCAGTAAAATGTCTTCCCGGGCAAGTGTCACTTTGGGAAGTTTATCTGCTCACTTCTGCTCACTATAAGCTTAACCCCCTTGTCTGAATTACTTTGTCTCTCTCATCAATCTGATTCAGCTTTTATTCTAGAGGGTAAAATTGAAGCCAATTTGAAAAGTCATATTTAAATAATGGTTCCCTCTGCCAGTATAATTGCGATTAATTGATCATCATTTTTATCCAATGTGTATGTTTCTGCTTCCTTTGAACGTTTAATGTGTATTACATTAGTAATAAGAAAACAAGCAATTATCTTTGTTTTTTTCTTTAAGGGTGTTCATGCCTACCCTGGGTGACACAGATGGTTCAGTGTGCTGGACTACTAACCCACGGCGGGCAGTCGAGGCCCACTCAGACATGTCTCAGAAGTAACTCCTTGAGTTGGGCTTCTCAACAGCCGCTGCGTTGAAAGGCT